ATTAATGATAATTACTATAATTTTTTATTTAATTACTTTCTGTTCATTATATTTTTTAACAGTAACTTTAAAGCAAAAGTTTTGATTGACTGCCAATTCATTCAAAATAAAAATTAATTAGAAATTTTAATTTTAATAGATTTGAATAAATTATTTTCAACACAAAGTTGTTTATAAAGATTACATTCACTTTTAAATGTAATGCTTATTATCTAGTTTTGACTATAATTCAAAATCATTAGTGCATTAAATTGTGAATTTTAAACACCAAATATTAGCTCTAATATACATGTTTAGCCATAGAATAGTGTGTTATTATAAATAATATTATATTATTAACAACTTATTGAACTGTCTTTTAAACCAATATTATTTTCCGGAATAATGTTGATTAAAATTAATTTTTAATAGACTAAAGTTACTGTATTTAAATATTTTTACTGTAAAAATTAATTTCAATAAACACTTATTGCATTAAATCATAATCAAGTGAATCTCTTAACACAAGAATATTGACCCTAATTAGCCATTTAAGGGTTTATTGTAATATTCAAACACATGGTCTGAAAATAATGTTAAAATTTGAATAATTAATTCAAATAATATTATATAACAGTGACTAACAAATCATATTCAAAAACAATAGCTCATTGACTCGCAATGAAAGTGCCGTTTCGTTCTTCAAATCGTGTTTTACTTCAAAATTCCTGTTATAAAGTGATATCACATTTGCTTTTGTTGTTTTCAATTTTTAGATTTTTTATTATTATAAATGTTTTTTAAAATAATAAGTATTACATCATTGATATTGAAGAATAATTACATATAATTAGCATATCATTACCTAATCATCTAATAATTTAGTGAATAACTAAGTTTTAATTTAATTTTTAATTGCATTTTATAACTGTTACCGTATTTGTGGTGTCCATACAGAATATAATTGTATAATAAGTTAATAATAATAACTTACAATTATTGTTACAATTGATAGAAAATTAATAAAATGTTGATTTTGCTAATCTAAAGAAACAATTTATGTTGATTTTTATTATGTATTATTCAATTTACTTTATTTGAAAAATTTAAATAAATTAAATCACTTATTAAATGATTCATGTCTTGGGCTTGTTTTAAGGCCACCAAATTTCCTAGTTATCCTTTTTTAATAGTTGTTTGCAACTGTATTGTGAGACTGTTTAGTAATTCCTCTATTATTGGTTTTATTTAATTAAAAATTTGTAAAATTAAATTCAAAACAGTGTTAACACAAGTATTAATTGCATTGCAATTTATAGACTTATCATATAATAAACATTCAACAATTAAAGTTAAATATCATGTGTTAATTTAATTTTAAGATTTAATTATTTTCTTCAGATCTGGCGGAAGTCGATTGGCTCAGAGAGGCTGGTCTTCAAGATATTATTCACTCATTAAAAGGTAATTGAATTATGTTTTATGTTTAGTATTCAATATGATGTTTATTTCTTGGAATACTAAAATTTTGTATAAATTAACAATAGTTAATATGTATTAATAATCATGTAATATTATGCGCCGATAACCATGCTTAATATAAAGTGTAATATGTGTATATGGTTATAATTTATAAATAAATGCAATTAAATCATATGATTTTAAATCGGAAAATTTGCAGAAATTTGAGTTCAAATTCTTATCAAAGAATTATTACTGATTTTCATAATATTTGCTCAGATTTTGAGTTTATTGTTAGATTATAAGAGAGAATAATATATATTTTTATATAATATTTGTTATAAAAGTTTATTATAAGTTATAATTGCTTTAAATGTGTAATAAATTATCTGAATTTATTTACATTAAACATAGATTATAATACATCGGAATAATCTAAATTTACTTAAAGACAATTTGGTATTAAATCATAAGAAAAATGTATAAAATTAATGCAAAATATAGTGTTTCGAAGAGATGGTGAAGTTTAGGTGATATTGTAATAAATGACAGCAATAAAGATGCTATAAATAAGCTGTTATACGAAATGTGTTTTATGAATATAAATGTCAACTTGTGTTCAGTAAAAAGCAAACATTAATCAATTGATTATTAATTTTTATGATTATGTTTACTGTAAATGGTATGGAAAACACCAGACAATTCTTTGACGACTACATCGGTTTCTTTGGATGAATTGCTATCCAATCCTTTGTCCATTCAATTGACTGAAAGGCAGACAAATACAGTGCGAAAGAGAGTCAATACATTGCGTTCAACATTAATCAAACAGAAGACACACAACAGTAAAAGAGGTCAAGAAGTGGTCCAAATTGTTAACAGTAAACAGCGTCCGGATGTGAGATCACTGTTCAATAACTCCGACAACACTGACAGCACTCGTGATCAACCAATTATTGTTTGTTTTTTGTTTAATTCATGACTTTTCTATGCTTTTTGCTGTAAAAATAACTTTAATTCTCGTTTTGTATGACTGTTTTGCAGATCACTGATACAGATATAACAGAAAATGACGGATTGGTTCTATCGGTTCCCAACAGCCATACGCTAAACATACCTCCGATTCCGATGCCTCGAAGAGGTTCATCGCCTGATCTCAAGATTACCGCTGAGACTGGAAGGACTCGTACGCTATCAAACCCGCCAGATATGGACAATGAGAACAATTTAATAAAATACAAATCGAAATCAAATTTATTGAATTTAAGTAAATCGACGACTAATTTGAAGAAAGAGTCTTCGAGTCGATTCAGTTGGTCCGGCTATAAGAAAGCCTTCAGACTAGTCAGCGATCGCCGCAATTCTCATACAGCGCTCGACACCGACAACTCCGGCACCGGTTTGTTGTGTTCAACACTTTGTTCGTTATTTTAGTTGAATTTCTCAAATTATTGTTTTTAGGAATCGAAGCGTTGAGTTTGAAATACAATTCTAGTCTCAGAGGACACGAAGACATCCCAAGAAATGTCAAACAAGTGACCGACACTTACGGCAATGATTTCTTCGCCGCCGATCACATCACAGCTCAGGGATTGGGAATTGAAGTCGTGATGAATCCTCAAATTCAATACACATCTCCTGTAAGTGTTGACCAGAATTTATCATTTTGTTTATCATTTTATATTTTTAATCATTTAAATATCAAATATTAAAAAAATTTTATTTTACAAAATTATGCAAAAGTAATAAATTATATAATAATAATTGCATTACATATTTAATCATTATTTAAATGTGGTTTATTAGACGCACACAAGTTTAAACCTGAGATTATAAATGTGGTTTAAAAACACTTGATATTTAGTTAATAGAATTATATTTGATGCAAAGTATATGAGATAAGAGACAACACATTTATTTTGATTTAATTAAAGCAATAAAATATTTTTAACAAAATTAGCAAATTTATAACAAAATACAATAACAGACTGATAGGTATGAGAAGTTTTATAACATTTACAACATTTATAACACATGAAATGAAATGAATTTCTATGACTTTTTCAATATTTAAACACAAGTATTGACAGACAAAACAAGATTAGAATAAATACATAAAATAATTAACAACATATAAAATTTTTAGTTTGTAAATAACAACATTTAAACAGTGAAAAATCTCAAAAAATTAAAATTACATTTAATTCATTGCCATTGACTGCGGGAATAACATTAAATTATCGGTATTCTTGTTGCGATTGAAGTCAATATTATTGAAATTGTTGAACCGATTCATATCAAATCCAAACATATTATTGTCATAATTCATTGGATACGATGAGGTTTGGATGGGGTTTGAAATGGGAATCGTCGACATTGTAGTCATAAACATCGGGAACTTTTTTCTTTAAATTTTAGTTAAATTATATTAAAATAATATGTGATAAAAACTATTATCCAATGAATGAATTAAAGTAATACTTACGGCACAGGAATTGGTATAACGAAGGGAATGATGATTTTAGTGGTCCCTTTTCCCAGACCTTTCAGTAGTTTTGCTTTAACTAACGTTTTGAATAACTTTACTTTACTTGCATTTACTGATTGCGGACACAAATGATAAATAATGAGACAAATGAAAATGAAATACACTATTTGTTTAGCCATAATTTGATAGTCATTTACACGAATAACACAAAATTGTTATTAAACTTATTATTGGACAACAAATTTCAATACATTTAGCAAAATGTTTGATTTGAAAGTGAGAGACAGAATGGATGTGATGTTGAGATTGTATTGATTCTTATATAAGGGAACGGATGAGACAAACATATCATGTTATAAGTTATGCCTACTTTCACCCATTATTTAATGTGATTCTCTATTTAAGAATCTATGTAAATGACAATAAGGCGGAACTGTTCCCATGTTGTCTTAAGTGACCCTTTAAAACGAGGTGCAAAACACACTTATTTGTGTCAAATTTACCAACAAATATTCAACGCTTGAATAACACACGTATATAAATATTCACAAAATATAGTCATATAGATGTCTATTCTTCTACTTTTTCTTTTCAAAGTACGTATAAAATAAATACAAACAATATATCTATTAATATATGGATAGGATTTCATCTCCTAATGAGTCAATGGATGAATAAGTAGCGAAAATAACGAAAATAAAATTAAAAAGATTATTTTTAAATTTAGAAAAACTTTCCACAAATACATCATATATTTAAAGGAAGAAAAAAAATAAGTTTCGGTTTTCCTTTTTTGTTGGCATTGTTTTAATTTACGATTTGAATATTATTTATGACTCTTTTTCCATTGTATTTCTGTTGTATTGATTGTTTGATAAATTATTTTTGGGTATTTCTTATTTGTCGTGTGTTTTACGATAAAAATTCCATTCCATTCAGATATTGGGATATAGTTTTGGTTTAGATTTAGCCAACAAATCAAATATTTGATTCAACCAAGTTTTCACACATAAACAAGTTGTACACTATTTATATAATTAACTTTTGTTTGCAAATATAATGCAAACAAATAATGTATTTTAAAAGTCGTTATTCTATTCATTATAAGAATGAATGAAAATTTTACAAATATTTTTACTCAAAATCCTTTTTAACGAAATATGAATTAATTGTCAATTGTTTTAATTATTTAATATTGATTGGGAAAAGTATTTAAGACATGAAACAATCCAATATTTAGTTAACTATTTTATTATCACTGAATTAATTGTGACAAAACTTTAGATAAATATTTATCATGACTTATTTTTATATAATTTATAGCTTTTGAATTTGATATTTCGTTATTTAATATAATTTTATTTGTTTTATTTGTCATTATTTGTCTCAAAAGTCATCAAAAACTATTTCGTGTAATAATATTTCACTCAAAATTGTGAATAACCCATACATACATGAAATTCAAACATAACTTATTGTGTTTAAGAATATATCCATTTATCAGTAGTTTCATCAAGATTTGTGGCTTTTATAGTAAATAAGTTATTTTGATGACTAAATTTACTGCAATTACGTAAACAATAGATTAAGAAATTTATTTATATTAATTTTTCGTGATATTTTAGCAAATATGGATGTTTTTAATTTAGATGATTACTACTTGATGTTAACAATTGAGGTCAATGTTGTGTTTGTGAACAAAATAGCGATTTATTTAATAAATAAAAACATATT